GGGGTCCCGGGGGGGTCCCGGGCGGGATTTGGGGGGTCTCTCAGCGGATGGTCTTGACGGGACTCTTGAAGTTGCTGGCGGCCTGGAGCTGCAGCTGGTACGCCATGGGGTGGATCTTGAAACCGTAGAGCCTGCGGGGGAAACGGAATTTTGGGGGGAAAAACCGGAATATTGGGGAAAATGGGAATATTGGGAAAAATGGGAATATTGGGGGGAAAAACGGGAATATCGGGAAAAATGGGAATATCGGGAAAAATGGGAATATTGGGAAAAAACGGGAATATTGGGAAAAAACGGGAATTTTGGGGGGAAAAACGGGAATTTTGGGGAAAAACGGGATTGGGGGGAAAAATGGGAATATCGGGAAAAATGGGAATTTTGGGGGGAAAAATGGGAATTTTGGGAAAAAACGGAATATTGGGAAAAATGGGAATATTGGGGGGAAAAATGGGAATATCGGGAAAAACCCCAATATTGGGAAAAATGGGAATATCGGGAAAAATGGGATTGGGGGGGAAAACGGGAATATTGGGGGAAAAATGGGAATATCGGCAAAAAACGGAATATCGGGGGAAAAATGGGAATATTGGGGAAAATGGGAATATTGGGAAAAATGGGATTGGGGGAAGAAATGGGAATATTGGGAAAAATGGGAATATTGGGAAAAATGGGAATATTGGCACCTCCCAGGGACACAGGAACGGGCACAAAACACCGTTTTTAAACTCATTTCCCACCGTTTTTAAACTCATTTTTCCACCTTTCTTAAATTCATTTCCCACCGTTTTTAAACTCATTTTCCACCGTTTTTAAACTCATTTCCCACCATTTTTAAACTCATTTCCCACCTTTTTAAACTCATTTCCCACCATTTTTAAACTCATTTTTATGCCATTTTTAAACTCATTTCCCCCCATTTTTAAACTCATTTTCCCACCATTTTTAAACTAATTTTTATGCCATTTTTAAACTCATTTCCCACCGTTTTTAAACTCATTTTCCCACCATTTTTAAACTCACATTTATGCCATTTTTAAACTCATTTTTATGCCATTTTTAAACTCATTTTTATGCCATTTTTAAACTCATTTTCCCACCATTTTTAAACTCATTTCCCCCTGTTTTTAAACTCATTTCCCACCATTTTTAAACTCATTTCCCAGAATTTTTAAACTCATTTCCCGCCGTTTTTAAACTCATTTTTATGCCATTTTTAAACTCATTTTTATGCTGCTTTTAAACTCATTTCCCGCCGTTTTTTCCCCTTTTTGGGCTCATTTCCCTGAGTTTGGGGCTCTCCCCGTTTGGGGTTCTCGGGGCCGTTTCCCCGAGCCCCGGGGCCGTTTTTTTTTGGGGTTTTTTTTGGGATTCGGGGCTGTTTGGGCGGGGGCAGCTCTGACCTGGGCACGAACTGGTTGGCGGGGCGCTTGGGCCGGTACTCGGGGTGCACCATGAACAGCATGTGCGGGAAGCCGGTGCCGAAGTAGGCGCCGTCGGTGTGGTGGTGCCGCGAGGATTTGGGCGTGTACACGTCCATGCACTTGGGGCAGTACAGCTTGACCATGGCCTCGCCGGGGATGTCCGACAGCCCTGGGGGGCGCGGACCCCGCCCCAAAATCCGTGTCATGGGGGGCGCGGACCCCTCCCCAAAATCCGTGTCATGGGGGCGGCGTGGACCCCGCCCCAAAATCGGTGTTATGGGTAAGCAATGACCCCGCCCCAAAATCGGTGTTATGGGTAACCCATGACCCCTCCCCAAAATCCGTGTCATGGGGGGCGTGGACCCCGCCCCAAAATCGGTGTTATGGGTAAGCAATGACCCCGCCCCCAAAATTGGTGTCATGGGGGGCGGCGTGGACCCCTCCCCAAAATCGGTGTTATGGGTAACCCATGACCCCGCCCCAAAATCCGTGTCATGGGGGGCAGTGCGGACCCCGCCCCAAAATTGGTGTCATGGGGGGTGGCGCAGACCCCGCCCCAAAATCGGTGTCATGGGTAACCCATGACCCCTCCCCAAAATCGGTGTTATGGGTAAGCAATGACCCCTCCCCAAAATTGGTGTTATGGGTAAGCAATGACCCCACCCCAAAATTGGTGTTATGGGGGGTGGTGCGGACCCCGCCCCAAAATCGGTGTCATGGGGGGCGGCGTGGACCCCGCCCCAAAATCGGCACCACGGGTGACCCAGCCCGGGGAAAGGCCAGGGGGAGGCCAGCCCAAATAACCCAGCGCAAAAAATAAACCACTCCAAATAAACCCCAAATAACCCACCCCAAACAATCCACCCTAAAAACCCACTCAAAATAACCCAACTGAAATAACCCACACCAAATAACCCACCCTAAATAACCC